GAAGATACGGGTAGATAAGTAAAACCTGGAAAATCTATGATATGGACACATTGTGGATATGAAGCGCATGTGAATTTATTTGTCTACAACATGTATGTGTATGGCTAGAATTGTCAACAGCACAATAACAAAGGGAACACAAATAAGATTGTAAATTATATAAATCAATAATTATGAAAGCAATTATAATCCTTTGTTGAGGAAGTGAACAAAATATATGAATGCATATAATCATTGTTTTGAATATCCCTAATATAACATATCGGCTGATATATCCTTTTATAGGGCTTACCACCAAATGATATAGTCTTAATATCCTTTACTGCTTTTTCGCAATTGTTAGCGATATGTCCCTAACATGACCGATCTATCAGTCGATATGTTGACTGATATGTCCTCTTGTATGGTTTGTCTCAAACAATATAGTTTTTTAAAAATTCCTTAATGGCTTTTAGTAAAAGTTCCAGCCCTATAAAGTTTTTTTAATTCAAGTAGGCTCTTTTCTCTAAAAAAGTTTCTACAATTGGTTAGTAATCCTAAACATATATTATTTACGTTTTTCTATGCTTAGATTTCATTAAGTACGTAGAGATATTGTACTATATATTCACATCATCTGATATGGCACTTCGATATGTACTACATATCGTCCCTGATCTTTTCCCGACATCTCCCGACATCTGCAATAATATATGGACTTTGACCGCCCCATATTTCCCTGATATCCGATATTTGAAACCATTCATACAAGTAAAGTTGGAAATTCAGTCCATCATTCATGCATTAGACTTTTATTTCTTAGCCATGGATACATCTTCAATATGTTTGGGTTACATTTACTTTTTCTCATCATAAAAAATCCAACATGTATCATCAAATTTTTCGACAATCCAAGTATTGTGTATGTACTGGATTCAGGTATGACTTTTTTATATAACTATCCTTGCAACATTACCTATTGGTTTCCTGTCGCACATACCGAGACCTTCTCTAATTGTTCCTGCTCATCTTACATGAATTTAATCAGTTTTTATATGTACTCATTTCATGCCACCCAAGCATGTCATACTTGTATATAGGTTGGAACAGGCATGTGGATTGTTTCTTGGGTCCATCAATTCAAACAGAATTTTATTCTATATTTCAATCCAACCAAAACTTAGTCATAGCTAAATCATGATGTGTTCTGTATTGGGGATTTTTTTACGATTGAATCCACTTCTATGGTCCCATATTTAATAATTCCCAAACTCTTTCTTCTATACCGTGGATCATCAAAATAAGCAATAATGCTATTCTACGTAGAATACCATTTATGGGTATTTCAATCGAGGGCAGACTCTCTTTCCTTTAATACTGCCTGTTTGTGATAAAAATAAAAGGTCAGGGAAACTAATGATGTCTTTTTAACATTTTTGTGCTTGTGTTTGATTCCATTGACAAAGACTTTTGATGGTGCAAGGTGAAATCATGAATAAAAATATCAAAGTGAACATCATATATATTCATATTAGTTACTTAAAATTATGAGAAATGCCTTGAGGCATTTTTTAATATAAATGCCTTGAGATGCATGTGTGAAGAGCAATGAAACTTGACGTGCACACTACAAGCAGAGCACTCTGGATGCATTCAGGACCATCCAGCTTACCTCCTTTTGAGCTTTTGTTCAGAGCTTTACTCCATAACTCTTTGTTTTACTAGCACTTTGTGCCAGCTATTTCAAACTTCTTCTTCCAAGTTTTATGTTATAAAAAATAAATAATCGATTTAATGATAGGTTAAATTTTAAAATTTAAAAAAAAAAATTGTACTATGTCTTCAGTCTTCTGTATGAAACGCTTTTGTATGAAACTTTCTTTTGATCTCGACTGTCTAATATTTAGTGGACTGTTACTTATGATTCAATAAAAATATTTCTAAAAGTTAAATTTAGCAAATGTTTTTCTTTAATCTATTTCTTCAATGTCTTCTTGCAATTAGGACTTTAACTTTTCCTCTTTGCATTCAAGAAGATTAAAGAAGGTGCTTTTTAATCCATTTCTTCAAAGAACTTATGATTTTGTTTTAGAAATATTAATTTGTTTTTGGTATAGTTTTAAGGTTGCTTGCAAAATAGATCTTAACTTTTCCTCTGTCCATTCAAGTAGATTCAAGAAAGTTCTAACTACATTTTTATATGAGATAGTCATGGGTTGGATGTGAAATTCCAAACTTACCCCTAATGTTGAGTTGAAGAATGGATGAATGTCCATTCCTATTTTTTTTGGACGCCCCTCGTTGTTTTTTGATATATTAATATAGATTTTTATGATATTTGTTGATTACAAATAAGGATAAAGAGATGAGGTTTATGCCTTGCTTCTAAGGTCTAGTGCTGCATGTACCATCTTACACCCATATCTTAGAAGCCAGTTTGTATAAGGGATAAAGGGGCATTTGTGTTGGATATGAGCTCTTGGAATCATTATCCAGGGACTTCAAGGATGGTTATGCAAAAGATGCTGCCAATATCCCACCTGATTAACCAAACGTCTGATAATGTTCAGAGTTATATTCTGTAGACTTGTCAACAGTTGATCACCAAAGAAGACTTACTCTAGTGGAATGTGAGTTAAAAGAAAAATAATAATTATTAGTATTATTATAAATAATAAATAAATGAATTATGGATGCCTTACCTGAATAACTTTATTGCCATTTATAATCTGCCTTATAAAGTGTTTCCCATTAGTCTAAGCAAAATCACTTTTGGACGTAAAACAATAAGATACAAATATGGACAAGTGATGTGTCCCTTTTTTAGCCATTAATCTTGGCTGCAACTCGAAAAATATACACGTCACTTCATACTTGATCCCGTGAACTTTGGGTTCAAAGACTCAAACAGAAGTGCCCTTAGTTTAAAGATGAAGAGAAAAGATTAAACAAACTTGTTATCTTCAAATATGTAGTCTATATTATCACATTGTTTTAAAAAGTGGTCTGGCACCTGCCTAGGCCTAAGCGGCACTTAGGCCGCCCACCTAGGTCTTGGGAGTGCCTAGAGAAGCATGGGCTGCTAATGCGGATTGTAGTATGTTGAAAAGGGGTTATTGCTCGCTTAAGCATAACAATGGGTGAAGAGAATGGGCCAAGTCAAAATGGATTGCATTAGCACTCTATATCCAAATCCATTGGTAAGGATAGGATTTTGAATCTTCGAAAAGAATCCTTCCTCTCTTGATGCTTAAAATGCCTCATTCCGCTTGGTCCGGCCTCTAGAAGCGCCTAACGCTTTCTAAAACATTTATGGTGCATGTAACTGGCACCACCGGTTTCTTTATGTGAATTTTTTTATAATGTTCCCCTGTTTTTAATGCGTCTGATAAGCGTTCTTTTATACAGAAGAACACTGTTAATTTTCTATTTTCACTATTGACTGGTCCAATTAACTGTATATTCAGGGTTGGTGATGATGCACTTGTTTCCATTGGCCAAGGGTGTTCTCTCCGGTATTTGCATGTTAGTGGTTGCCATTTAGTCACTGATATTGGATTGACAGCCATTGCCAGAGGCTCCCCGGAGCTTACCTACCTGGATATCAGTGTTCTTCAGGTCCCTCTCATACAACACACAGACATTCTTATCAGTATGGATATAGCTGCTTGTGCACAAGCATCACTTGTGTATCCACTCATACGCTTGTGTGCATGTAAAGTCACATGCATCTCTCTCCTGAATACACAGAGATGCTAGTGTGCAGGAAAACTGCAGTCATCAGTTACACTTGCTATTTCCACTTGCATCTTTTCAGTTATACTACCATATAACCCACTTTTTCCTGATGGTATGTATGGGTTCATGAGAGATAAAGTTAACACCCTGACATGGCTTCTTTCATGTATTTGCTCTGGAATTTGCACCTGCAAAAATTTTCATTGCTGATCTAAACGTTGTCCATCTATCCCATCAATTAAGCTAGCTACTAATGCATGTTTGATGTAATAAATTTGCACCTGCCACAATTCTGACTGCCATCTATCTCATGCAATTGTAATAATAAACCTTCTTACCGAAGTTGCATGAGTGTGGGACACAAGAAATTTGTAAAAGATAGGGTACGAGGACACCGCTGTAACTCATGGGATACAATCATATAGTTCTGAGCTATGTAAAAGACCCTCTTAAGGCTGAAACGAACTCGACCCTTGTCCAACAAGTTAAAAAAATGGATGTGCAATGTAGGATATATATTCAAGAAGTGTCTTAACGAGTGTTTCGAATTAAACATGCCTTGTATAATTGAGTACACGTATGAATAAATGTATGCATATATTGAAGGAGTGTCCAAGAAGTGTCAGGTATGAGTACGGGTATGGGTATGACGCGTGTCTGGTACTGGTACGACTCCATATTAGAAGTACCCAGATAACATAGCTTCTCACTATAGTATTGGATTGCATTATGAGAAGCATATCAAAAGTTAACATTTTGTCAAACCTCGGAGAAAAGCATGGAAATATAAATATCTTGACATCGTACATGCTTACGCTGCATTATTCCATTATAGCCAATTATTAGTTTCTTTTGGTAATTATGCCTTTTTCCTTATCCAGGGTATAGGAGATATGTCATTGGCTGAGTTGGGAGAAGGGTGTCCTATGCTCAAGGACATAGTTTTGTCCCATTGCAGGCAAATAACTGACACTGGGTTGAGCCACCTTGTTAAGGGATGTGCCCAGCTTGAGACCTGCCACATGGTTTATTGCCCATCCATAACTTCAGCCGGAGTAGCTACTGTTGTCTCAGGCTGTGCCAATATAAAGAAGGTTCTTATTGAAAAGTGGAAGGTGAGCCAAAGAACCAGGCGCAGAGCTTCCTCTATCATCTCTTATCTCTGTATGGAACTTTAGTTATTGTCTGTTCTCCATGAGAATAGCAGCCCACGTGATCATGAACTGCCTGGTGTAAGCCAAGCAAAGTTGAAGGTCTTTGTTGAGAAGTGGATGATCACTATAAAAAGAAACAGGACGGGAAGAGTGCTGTCTTCTAAGCTCAACCCTGGACTTTGATGGTAGCATGTGCTTATGAGAAGTCAGTTCGTGGCAAGCAAAGAGGCTTTTGCGACCCATTATGCGTATTGGACTTCTGCCTATGAAGGCACGGTTGCAGATTGTAAACGGGCACTGCTGAAACGATTAGCTTAAAATTCCTTAAGATGAATCTTTTCTTGGGAGAGAGCAAGACAATATAGAAGATTGAAGAAATGTCCTAGCTTCTTCTATTTTCTTTGTTCCTATATTCATTGCTCAGATTGACTTAATGTCAATTGTGAGTGTAGACCATGATATTATTTGCATGTGAAGTTAGATAACAAAGAAATGGATGTCTGCGTCGTTTGTGCATGAGGTCAGTTTCCTTGTTGAGACATGAGAGACGGTATCATTAACATTTTATGTTGGAAGTTCTTTTTATTGATTGAAATCACAAGTTTACATATTCAAAGTTCAATGGGAAGATGATTTCTATTTGGTGAGATCAACATTGTTAATTTCCAATTTTTACTCCAGTGATAGTTGTTTCTAGGTTTCAAATTGCAAATGTCAGGACCCAATTTTGATTTCTGGAATAGTCGTTATAATTGAGGTCTTAGCTACACTGCACTGTATGAACAGTGTTGTACGAAAAGAGCAATTGCTTTGAATTTGTAATAATGCTTGTTTAGTTGTGCCTTTTAGCTATTATTGGAGTACAGTGTAACACACACAAAAGTGTGGAATCACATGCAAACTCACTTTGCCATGCATTTTACACGGTTACTTGCTTTTATGTGTATTGGAGGACAAATTTTCAAAACCAACCTATTTACAAATTTAATCGTAGAAAACAACCCACTTCAGATTTAATTGCAAAAAACGACCTGGTTTCAGCCTTGGCGCTGAAATCAGATCGGTTTTTGTGAAAAAACTTTCGAAACTTCACGGGAGTTGAACTCCCGTGAAGTTTCCCAGTACAAAAAAAAAAAATGAACTACGAAACTTCACGGGAGTTCAACTCCCGTGAAGTTTCGGATAAAAATTTTCAAAAACCGACCTGGTTTCAGCTCCAGGGCTAAAACCAGGTCGGTTTTTGCAATTAAATCTGAAATAGGTTGTTTTCTGCGATTAAATTTGTAAATAGGTTGGTTTTGAAAATTTGTCCGTGTATTGGAATCAGCAGGGTCCACAGAGGCAGAAGCTCTGTAAATGATAGAATATATTGAATGAAAACAAAGAGAAAGAAATAGAATGTACTGTTTGTTGTGATGGTTCTTGCTGGCATTGTTAATTTTTAACTTTTACTCCAGCGATAGTTGTTTCTATGTTTCAATTTGCAAATGTCAGGACCCATATTTGATTTCTGGAATCAAAGGTTTAGTCTTTATAATTGAGGTTTTAGCTTCACTGCACTGTATGAACAGTGTTGTACGAAAAGAGCATTTGCTTGGAATTTTAATAATGCTTGTTTAGTTATGCCTTTTAGGTATTATTGGAATCAAGTGTAACACACACAAAAGTGTGGAATCAAATGCAATCTCTCTTTGCCTTGCATTTTATACAGTTCCTTGCTTCCCTATGAGCAACGGAATCAGCAGGGTCCACAGAGGCAGAAGTTCTGTAAATGATAGAATATATTGATAGAAAACAGAGGGAAAGGAATAGAATGTATTATTGCCGTGATTGTTCTTGCTTGCACTGTACTGTACTGTTTTAACTGCTGCTTTTCAACGCTATCTTATCCCCGGAAGAAAGAATCCATCCTTGAATGTCAATATATCTCTTCTCTCTGTTTCGGTTCATTGTCTGACATCGGAGAGAAAAAAATGGAGAGGAAAGACAATGGAGCAAAGCAACTAGGATTCTGCCATAGACTCTTCCAATTTGTTATGAAGAAATTTGCCTTCAACACTCGAAACCAAGTAACTCTTGGGAGAAATCCTCTTGCCAAAACTGATCAGGAAGAGATTAAACCTTCTGTAAGAGAGAATTCGGTAGTCAACGGAGTTGCAGAGAAAGATTGTGATGTTGACGAGGTTCCACTCGTGCCTCCCATTATAACGATACCAGTAGTGATTCAAGAAGCAACAGAGAAAGCAAATGTGGACAACAAGCGCGAGCGCAAGAAGAGAAAACAGGTTCAGGTAAAGAGTGGCACAAAAGAAGAAGGCGAAAATGTGCCGAAAATGCATGAAAAAGTTGGTGACAAGGGGTTGAAAAAGACGATGTCCTTGGATGGGCAGCCATGGAAGGCAACGAATGAAGGCAAGGTTTCAGATGTTCGGCCAGTAACACCAGTTGTAAGATCGGTCTCCAATATTGATAAGAGATTTGAGACGTACATACGAGAGAGAAAGGAATCATTTGGTTTGTAAAACTTGTGAAATTGACCAAAGCAATGTGCGCGCCTTTGCTAAAGTGATGCAATAAATGTAATAGTACGCGAACATTTGTTGCCAAAAAAATGAAAACATTTGTTGCAAAGAAAATATGCTAATTTGTTGAATATTAGATATGCATAGTCAACGTCATATGAATAATCAAAACAAAGGTTACTTAAACGTTTATTACATCCACATTATTCTTTAATATTTTTTGTCCTACATTAGAGATATGTCATGCTGAGACAGATAGCTACGAATAATCCATGAATTGCTCCACTTTATCCATTCTCAATTAAATGCTTAACCTCTTTTCTCTATCAAATCCTTACATATCAATTTGACTCAATTAACTTACAATAATTGAATGATGCAATATTCTGAAACTCAAGTTGTTCATTTGTCTGGGAGACTGTTTTCAACCAGAGGATAGAAAAGGAATGTAATCTCTTACTTAATATTGAACTCGGGTTTGTGAAGGGGAGGTGAGGTGACATGAAATGCAATGACATGAAGGGATGGACATCGTTTTTAGCTTTTATATGTTTGTTTGGAAGGGCACTGAGGGGAGATGAATCATTTCCTAGTTCAATTTCTCTCTTGTATCCTCTCAACTTGGGGTGAACATCTTTTTCTAGTCCATCTCTCTCCATATTTTCAGTTCATTTTAAGTTGTCCTTCCCCTCACCTCAACTCCCATCCAAAAATCCCCTATCATAGATGAGTTTTGGTTGTCCCCCACCTCACCTAGCCTCCCCTCCTCATACGATGCCTAACCTATAACATTTGTACTATTATACTTCAATGAATTAACATCAAATGTAATTATTTTACTATTTTACTTCAATGAATTAACATCAAATGTAACCAAATGATTCTTCATGTTCACGATCTTAATTCGTGCCTCCGCATTGTTATCAGACTAAATTCATATTTGTCTGACTATTAGGCCATAGATGATGTAAACAATTGACTAAAGTATATAAAAAACAAGCTAAATATCAAAAAGCAGAAATTTTTAAAATAGGCCAGTTTTGATAAATATTTAGCAAAAGCGACCTTTTTTGGTCAGCTCACCGAAAATGGCCAAAAAGAGGTCGGTTTTGTTAAATTCAGTTCTCAAAACACACGAAACTAATAGTTCTGTATGTTTAGTGGTTGCTAATCGGTCACTAAACAAGAAGCTCAAAACCAACGGGACTAATAGTCCCGTGGATTTTCTGAATTTTGTGAGTTAGATCTACTCAAACTTGCAGCCTCTAATAAACCCAAAATAGACACACAATGGATTCACAATAGATCAAAATCTCCTTCAAAGATCCCATTTCTGAATCGATCAAATTCTCAAAGAGAACAAATCAATCAGCAAGCAAAAGACAAAAATCGAGAGAAGCATGAGATGCTCGTTCCCGGGTCTGAACGATCTCTACGACGCCGCTAATGACGGCGGTGACGTTTGAATCAATGAGAACAAGTTCAAGATCTTGAGGCAACTCAGCGTAGGAGGATTCACTTATGTCTACCTATTGAAGGAGGTGGTCTCCGACAGCGGTGGGTCCCAAGGCGGTGATGGACTCACCGAAAAGAAGATTAAGAACTCTTCTCACATTTCAGGTCAATTTCCAATTTTCTCCATTTGGGTTTATTTATTTGGTCATGAATTCTCATGGGTATTTCGCAAAGTTGAATCTTTCGTTGTTGTTGCTCTTGTTGCGGATGATTTGAGCTTAATATGGATGCAATTCAACTAAGTTTTAGTTGGAATTGGGTTTTGGGGTACATTATATAAGTAATTTCTTAATTTTGGCTGGATTTTTGTTACTGGACTTTATCGGCTGAGATTTCTTCGTATTCTGAATGTTCACAAAATCCACGGGGCTACTAGTCTCGTGGATTTTGAGCTTCTTGCTTAGTGGCTGATTAGCGGTCACTAAACACACAGGACTACTAGTCCTATGTGTTTTAAAAATTGAATTTACCAAAATTAATTTTTTTTGCTAGCTTGGTTGGCTGGCAAAAAAAATTTGGTTTTACTAAATATTTAGCAAAATAGATCGGTTTTGCTAAATATTTAGCAAAACTAGCCTATTTTAAAAAATTCTCCTATCAGAAACCCTCTAACTTTGGATGATTGTCATACTACCTTCAATGATTTTGAAAATATATGAAAACCCGCTCTTAAGTTTGGAGGTTATCAAGAATTTTCCCCTTTAACTTTAAGATTTTATGACAACTCCCAATGTTTAGTCTGCTAGCATGATAAATTTCATAGTTCCATTGTCTAACATGCCTGTAAGCCTATCAAACATTTAACAAAAATAAGAAAAATAAAAGAAAACAAAAAACTGAGACCACCTATTTCACCTAGTGACTGTTGTATCACGATCCTACCATCTGCCTTAGTTTCCTCAGAATGTTAGTCGCTGCAGATTCCCGAGCTTCAGAAGGTTTGCTTTTTGAATCACCATAACTGCTGCACGCAAAGTCTGTCCCCTTGACCGTAACAATAGCCTCGAACATTCCTGTCAATAAATGACAGAGCTCTGTATATGATTAAGGGATTCTTATATTTCGAAGTTATAATTGCAGTTGCAAGAAGTGGAGTGTTAATGTATCTCATTGGTGAAGGGAGAGTGATTGCACAAATCCATTTGATTGCACGCTTGAAACAATCACCATCTTCCCAGGGGAAATAACAGCAGTGTTTCTGGGGTTAACCACAAATTCGTTTGATTGCACGCTTGAAACAACCACCATCTTCCCGAGGTAAACAATAGCAGTGTTGATGGTGTCAACCACACAAACACACCCCCACCACCAGCATCCAAAAAAAGAAAAAAAGCAGCACCCAAAAAGAAAAAAAACTCCGCCCAAGTACTTAGGGATGTTTCCCTTGAGACCCCCAGAACATTTTTCCCACTAAACACTAAAACTTTTCACACAAGACCCCCAGAGTGACGAAAATGCCTCTCAGGTGAAAAAATTATTCTTCATTCTTTTTTAATAAATTTCCCTCCACTGTAACAGTAGCCTCGACATTCTTATCAATAAATGTGGCCTTCATGAGTAAGAGATTCTGGATGTTCCAGAGCTGTTATTGTTACTATTATGAAGTGCAAATACATCTCATTGGTGAGGGAGAGCAATTGCACAAATCCGTTTGGATATATCAGTCATTATCATCTTCACGAGGTTAATAATAGTTGTGGTGGTGCTTATGTATCATGTACTAGACAAAGCATTTCCCATTAATGAATTATAAATCAACATGGCAGGAGGCATGGCACAACTCAAAAATAGAGGGGGGAAAACAATTACCAGTGATCTGACAATGTTTAAATGAGGGAATAACTCTATATGTTGGAAGCAACCAACTGTTCTTCTCGCAAATATCATCCAGCTCCTGTTGATTACATAAAAACACTGTTGTCGTCAGAATGTATATATGATGATCAAGACAAATTGAAGTAATCAAAATCTAGTAACTATGTTCGTTTGATTTCTGTCAACACGAGTTATGAGTTATCCTGCTTCATATAGATTGCTTACAACACACTTTTTTTTGGCCCCTCATTCTCTAGTTTTATTGCACCGAATGGAAGCACATAAATTGGTTCCGGTTTGACATACTAAGTGCAATAAATAACACATAATTATCATTATAGCAAAACAAGTCTGAAATAAATTAAAAAGATACGACTTTAGGGATAAGGGATAAAGCATGGATAGATCCAAGCAGCATTACAAAATCCCATTGATCTCATTGTATCAACAGGCAAGGGCGTAGCCAGGTTAAAACATTTAAATGGTCAACTTATGAGTTTTGGGTTTATGGTATGGACTTTAGCTGGGCTTTATCCCACAAGGCTGTGCTCAAGGCTTGGGGGGAAACCAAGGCCTCCTCTCGCCCCTTATTAGCTCCACCAGTGTCTACAAGAGTCAACACTATCATCTTTATGAGATTAGAGCCCCAATGTTCTCCTCTTTGCAAAGCGTCTTTTAATGCTCAATATCACACCCGATGGTTACTGATATCAGAGCTTTATAACACGTGACAGGAATTGGTGTCTTTGAACGAATATAACAAGTTCAAATCAAATAATTGAAAATCACAGCAACACCTTCCCTTCTGAGGTTTCTCAGACAAATCAATTACAGTCCGTTTTTCTTGAATCATGCTTTGCCGGTTCCACAGGAGTATAACAATTGGGGGGGCTCCACAGGCACAAAAGATGTCTATACAAGAGTGGAGAATAACACTGAATAAACATAGTGAAGACAAAGAGAACAACACACAAGGATTTAACGTGGTTCGGTCAGTATGACCTACGTCCACAAGCGAGAACAACAGAGAACTTCACTAATCACAAAAGAGAATATTACAAATAGGAGATCACTCTCTAACCAAAGAATCACACAAAGAAAGAGATTTCTGTTTCTCTCTCTCTCTCTTTTCTTTTTCTCAACTCTGTCTGATTCATTTTCCTCATTCATCACAACTCTATTTATAGGCAAAATTTGGTAGGTGAAACAGGAGTTAAGGCTATGCTGGAGTTGCAAAATTTGAATAAGCTGCCGCAAGATTTGAAGGCAGCTATTTTTGACTTATTCAAGTCACATTCACAAATCTCCATATTGACTTGAATATGATAATTCTTCTCTTCACTCTTGTTGTCTCACCAGAAGTCCCTTACGGGCTTAACATCCGCTTTGTTGAACTCCAAGCAATTCGAGACAATGTTCGAACTTGCGCGAAGGTACGAACTTCGTCATCATATCTGCTGGATTATTTACAGTATAATTTTTTTAATTTAGATGACTTTAACTTCTCTGATAAAATAATACCTGACATCTATATGTTTGATTCTTTCATGATACATATGATGCTTCGTCAAATGTATAGCACTCTGTTTATCACAAAATATCGTAGTAACACCTTGGTGTAAGCCGAGATCTTCAACCAAACTTCTCAACAAAATGACTTCTTTCACTACTTCTGTCACTACAATATACTCTGCCTCTGTTATAGACAAAGCAACTGTCGATTGTAGAGTCGTCTTCCAACTAATGACACTACCTAAAAGAGTGAATATATAACCTGTCAGGGATCGTCTCTTATCCAAATCGCCCGCATAATCTGAATCAGAATAGCCAAGTATTTTACAATCTGAGTTTGTGTTCCTACTAAAAAGCAAACCAATATTAGCTGATCCTCTCAAATATCTAAGTATCCATTTCACAGCCTGCCAATGGATCTTTTCAGGCTTATTCATGTACCGATTCATAACACTGACTGCGTGTGAAATATCTAGACTGGTGCAGACCATTGCATACATAATGCTTCTAACTGCACTTGCATAAGGAACACAAGACATGTACTACTGCTCCTCCTCGGTCTGAGGTGACAAATCAGCTGAAAAACAAAATGAGCAACAAGCGGAGTATTCACAGGCTTGGCATTAAGCATGCCAAATCTCTACAATACATTCTTGATGTATTTCTCCTGAGATAGGAATAAACTTTCTTCTCGTCTGTTCCTGTGGATCTCCATCCTTAAAATCTTCTTTGCTGCTCCCAAATCCTTCATCTTAAACTCATGTTTGAGTTAAGATTTTACCTCGTTGATTTCTGATATATCTTTAGCTACAATCAACATGTCATCAACGTATAAAAGCAAATACACAAAAGAACCATCATTGAGATTTTTATGATAAACACAACTATCATATTTACTCCTTGCTCAAATATGAAAGTATCAAATCTCAAATATCACTGTCTCGGAGACTGTTTTAACCCATAAAAAGATTTCTTCAACCTGCATACATGGTTTGTTTTACCTTCAACAATGAAACCCTTTGGCTGATGCATAAAGATTTGCTTTTCAAGCTCGTCATGTAGAAAAGCCGTCTTCACATTAAGTTGCTCAAGCTCCAAATTAAAATGAGCAACCATAGCAAGCAACACGCGGATTTAGGTGTGTTTTACAACTAGAGAGAATACTTCATTGAAGTCCGCACCTTCGGTCTGACTGTAGCCTTTAGCTACCAAACGTGCCTTATACCTTACATAATCTGTATCCGGAGCTCCTTCTTTCTTCTTGAAGACCCATTTACAGCCAACGATCTTCTGTCCCTTCAGTGGCTTTACTAACTCTCATGTCTGGTTCTTGCGAAGAGACTCCATCTCTTCAGTCATCACAACAGTCCAATTTGCAGCCTCATTGCCACTAATAGCTTCCTTATAGGTAGAAGGCTCTGGAATCTCAATCAATTCTTCTATACTCAAGACGTAAGCAAGCATGTCTGCATAACATTGAGGAGGTCGGATCTGTCTTTTTGTTCTCCCGGTGACAATATTGTACTGTTGCTCTCGCGATGTATCACCATCTAAAGTTAAACCTTTCACAGTATCAACTGGTTCAACATGAGCGCTCTCAAGCACTCTCTTTAAAGCTGAGCTCTCTAGCTCCACCTATTTGCTAGACTCCTTTTCAATACCTGTAGTGTCAATAACAAACTCATTTCTCGGGTGAAACTTAAATTTCTTATCAAAAGTAACATCTTTACTAATAATAAACTTAGGTGATTTAGGATCAGAACATCACAATCTATATCCCTTCACCCTAGTAGCATATTCTAGCAAGATAGCTTTTTTTACTCTAGGTTCAAGCTTATCATCATTAACATGAAAATAAGCAGAGCAACCAAATACTCTTAAATGAGAGTAATTAGCAGGTGCACTAGATCATACCTCTTCTAGAGTCTTAAATTCAATTGCTGTAGAAAGAGATCTGTTTATTAAATAGCAAGCTGTATTGATTGCCTCAGCCCAAAAGTTTTTTAACAAACCGGCATTAGAGAGCATGCACCGAGCTCTCTCTAAAAGTGTTCTGTTCATTCCTTCTGTAATTTTATTTTGCTATGGTGCATGTCGAACTGTATGATGACGCACAATACCTTCATTATTACAGAACTGGTCAAACTCTGTAGAACAAAACTCCATCACATTGTCGGTTTTGAGACGCTTTACTTTCTTTCCTGTTTACTTCTCAATCATAACCTTCCATTGCTTGAAGGTAGCAAACACATCACTCTTATGCTTCAAAGGATACACCAAAACTTTTCTGAAATTATCATCAATCAATGTTAGTAGAAAACGAACTCCACCTTTCGATGGAACCTGAGAGGGACCCTAAATATCTAAATGTATATAATCTAAAGTACCATTTGTTCTGTGGACACCGGTACTAAATGAGACTCTATGGTGAAAATACAATGCTCACAAAAATCTAGTTTGCTAGTTTTTTACCCACAAAACAGACCTTGTTTGCTTAATACATCCAGTCCTATCTCACTCATATGCCCTAACCGCATATGTCACAAACGTGTAGTGCCAGAATCTGAATCCTCTGAGGATGACATTGCTGCAGCACCTGTCACTGTATTACCTTTAAGGATATAGAGGATATTTACTTTTTTTCCTTTCATCACAATAAGAGTCTTTACTAACTCTCAAAACTCCACCTTTCGTCAAAAATTTAAAACCATTTGAGTCAATAATGCCTAAAGAAATGTGGTTCTTCTTTAACTCTGGTATATGTCGGACATTGCTTAATGTTCTAACAATACCATCATGGGTTTTAATCGTAATTGATTTGATACCAATAGTCTTGCAATGTATGTTATTTTCCAACAAGACATTCCCACCATCAATAGACTGATATGTGACAAATCAATCCCTATGCGGACACATATGGTAGGAACAAACCGAATCAAGAACCCACTCATTTTGTAAATGAGTATTCACACTAACTGAAAGAACTTCATGTGAACTAGAAGACTCTTCAGTTATAGTGGCAACTGAAAGTTTCACCACCCAGAATTCGACTGTGAATTATCCTTTGCTTTGAGCGCTGGACAATTAGGTTTTATATGCCCATACTTGTGATAGTAATAACATTCAACATTTTTTCTTAGCCTGGACTTTGATCTAGACATATTTCTAGATTTACCTCTACCACTAATACCCTTTTTAGGAAAACCACGAGCGAATAATCCTTCATCTTGATCCTCTCCTCCTACGATAAACACTTTTTGTCATAACTCTTTTGAATGTAAGGCTAATTTAACATCCTCTAAAGAAAGTGTATCTGCTCCGTATAACATGTTATTAACAAAATTTTCATAGGATGGAGGTAATGAACATAACAAGATAAGAGCTTGATCTTCTTCGTCGATTTTAACATCAATATTCTTTAAATCATAAGAATAGTGTTAAGTTCATCTAAGTGGTCTTTAATTCGCATACCTTCCTTCATGCGAAGGGCGAAGAGGCGTTGTTTCAAGTAGAGCTTATTCGTTAGAGATTTCGTAATGTACAAGCTCTCCAACTTGAGCCACAAGCCGACGGCGGTATCTTCATTGACAACCTCTCATAGGACCTCATCCGCTAAACAGAGCTGTATGGCACTATGCGCCTTCATCTCCAACTCTTCTTTCTCAGCATCGGGCATAGATTCCGGTAACTTATCGACCTTGAACAGTCCTTGTTGTACTAGGAGAGCCCTCATTTTTACTCCACAAACTGATGTTGTTTCTCCTATCAAATTTCTCCACTTTGTATTTTGCAGAAGACATCTTGAAACCCACTAGAACAGTAACATACTCGTGAATAGTACCCAATGCATTTAAAGAGAAAATGATAATCTAACTTATTTTCTGATGTAGAGGATCCACTTTTAGTGACAGCCAATATACATACGATAAACAGATACACGTACTCTAAGCCAGACTCTGATACCAGTTTGTTGCAGCGGGGGAGGGGGCTTCACAGACACAGAAGATGTCTATACAAGAGTGGAGAATAACAACACCGAATAAACACAGCAAAGCCAAATAGAACAACACATAAGGATTTAACGTGATTCGGTCAGTATAACTTACGTCCACGAGCGAGAACAACAGAAAACTTCACTAATCACAAAGAGAAGATTACAAAGAGGAAATCACTCTCTAACCAAAGAATCACACAAAGAAAGAGATTTCTCTTTCTATCTCTCTCTTCTTTTTCTCAACTGTCTGATGCATTTTCCTCATTCATCACAACTCTATTTATAGGCAAAATTTGATAGGTGAAACAAGAGTTGAGGCTATGCTGGAGTTATAAAATTTTAATAAGCTGCCGCAAGATTTGAAGGCAGCTATTTTTGACTTATTCAAGTCACATTCACAACAATCAAGTATACATGCATACACACATATGTGCATACACAAACAGTCACACGTAAGAAAACAAACATGCACATAGATGCACGCACTCATCCACACCCCATACATAAACATAATATGCATAGTCCAACTGACAATTGCAGAGAAGATTGCACAAGATAGCTTACTAAACACCGTTCATTATGCTAACCATATAGAATATCTATCTAAAGGGAAAATTGTATAAAACCCACCATGCAACTAGTGATGGCAAAATAAATTGTACTTCCGTGAATAAATAAACTATTAATTGATGCATAAAGATGACTAAGAGTTAGTTAAATGGATTAGATTCTTAGCGCATGTGATGCATGTGCACCAAAATTGCATACTTAAACTAAGAATGCAATGTACAATGTGTATAAATATGTATGTTACTTAACATAAGAAAATATTTGAATCATTTATGCAAACATGTTACCCCAAAATCTTTATGAAATTATGTAAGCTCGGTTCTTGCAAAAGTATCATATATAACTTGCCTGACATGGATTTCTTGAAGAAAGAACTGCCTCAGATAACTTCCTTCTTTTAGTAGTTCGAGAAGCACGTTCTTCTTTACAAGACAACTTTTCATCCATTTGAAATCCTTTATAGCTAAAGCAGTTGAATGCTTCAATTATTGAATGTGCTATTCTTGCTGAGTTCTCTTCACCTTCTACAGACATTAACCATATGAAGATTTTATTTAGTGAAAGCACAATTTGAGTATGTTTAATTAACAGGTCATACAAGTGACATAACTTAATCTGACTATTACACCAACAAGCAAAAGTATATTCTACCTACTTATGCCAAAAACCATGATGACATGACTAGGGGTGCAAATGTATCCGATAGGGATCATATATGATACTTACTATATCCATATCCTCTTACTAATCATGGATAAATATATGAATGGATTATGTTTCAATAAGAAAAACTCATATCGATATCTGCAAAATCAAATACGAATACGAGAAAAATAGGAGAAAGAATGCAAGTATACAAAATGGATATGAGGAAAACAGATAAATTTTGTATAATATATAGGTCATTAGAAGAGATCCATTACTATGTCCTGCAAATGGGAAAAGTTAAGATAAAATATTTGGATCATCAAAATTAATCTCTCAACAATTAATTTAATGATCAAGAGATTTGTAACTATATGGTCGACATATATTCGGATATTTCGGATATAGACCAGGATATTTCACTACATATTCGCAGCCGTAACTATATCCTATCAGATATAAACATTTAGTAACAGTATCCGCATCCTAACGGGTACAGATATACATGGATATAGATATTATTTTGCACCTCTAGACATGAACTTTTATTGTGGGAGATTGTGGGTTGAAATCTCCACATTGAGAACAGACAAATGTTTTCTGTTTTAGAATTAAAAATGCAGGGATGCACTGTTGCAGCCTTATCGCAAAATAATTTAATTATAAGGGCATGAGATCAAAATGACTCTTGAAAAATTGTTGCATTCCTTTTAGTGCAGCAGAAAAATCGATCGGCTAAGATTGGTGAGGCAATAATTCTCCACTTCATCAGTGGCATTCTTTGTCCTGCGATCTGTTTGTTGCATTGCAACAAAGCCTTCAACTGCAAGCAGGACAGTATGCAACCCTACTCACAACAATAAAATCTTTCATTATTTCAAGGGGGGTATTTGGTACCCCTGCAGCTTTATCTTGAAAGTTACCTCCAAAAGTTAAAAAATTTGAAAGATTTTCGAACCACAAATCATTTTAGAGATGTATGATAAATGTGATTTGATAAATTATCACACCTGCAACAAACTCACAAAACAAGTTGGACTATCCTCACTGCAAGCTGGACTACTGCAGTTGAGTCTTCTTTTACAACTACACTCACAGCAACCACAAATCAAAGCAAATAACTCATCACAAGCCTGGTTGCCAGCTGGTTTGCGAAACAAATTATGCCATCCTTGTACCTATGGTTCATGAGCTGCCACTTCTACAGTTACAGTAGACAGCTTCAAGGAAGTAAGCCGGTATAACTAGGCCCTTTATCAACTGCGGCCATAGTTGGAGCTAAGGGTGGAAATGAACCAAATAATTAACAAATAGTTTGATAAATGTTCGAGTAACTATTCGGTCATTTTCGATTCGGTAGTTCATTTACCACTATACAAATATTTTTTAGTATTCGAGTTTACTAACGAATATAATTTAACCAAATGTATATTCGATTCTTTTGTTTATCAAATATTCGTTTAAAATTTGATCATTTATTATTTGTATTATTACACGTATGATGTCATATTTTTAACCCACTTATCATTTCTACTTAAGTTTTATGTACTAATTTTAAGACTTAAATAATTTTAAATCTATTTTCTTATGAAAATTTTGATTTAAATATATATACATCATATATCATAAATGAATATTTTTTATTTATGAATTTAAATACTATTTAAAAATCAAATTCTTTAGCGAAATAAATATAATTTGATATTCGATAAGTATTCGTGAATATTCATGAATATTTATCAAATAACAAGTATTCGAGTTCGAGTTCGAAAAACTCCATATATAAATATTAGAGTCTGCATTCGAATTCGATAATTTTAAACAAAGACAAATACGAACACCTTAGTATTCGATTTGATTCGATCGTATACCACCCCTAGTTGCAGCCTGATTTGCAGGAAAACAAGCAGATCATAGGAGATTTATTTTCAAATGCAGAGGCTTCCTTCTCTCTTTAAAGACATGTCCCTTTGTATTAACCACCCATTTGGTCCTTTCACCCCTATGTGAATGAATGGATGTGGGGTCCACCTACCCACGTGCCTATGTTTTTACCCAAACGAAACGTGAATGATGCAGAGAGCGGGGGCCACGAGTGAATGAAATTCAGCGGGTGTTTTTTTTGTTTCTTAGACAAACCTGGCCCACCCGAGTTTTACTTGCAGGCTATAAATAGGAATCATATTCTCTCCTAGGGCTTGGTACAAGATTGAGAGGGGGAATAGGCAGCCGGCTGGGTGCAAAGAACAGTGTTGGCAAAGGTGTGCAGGAGTGTAAAGGCGGCTGGAGAAAACTCAGTTGCGGTTGTGCAAAGAAAAGGTAGAGGCCTATTTTTTTTTTTGGGTTTTGTGCATCTTTTTGAGAGAGTCTTTTGTGTGAGGGATTTGAGAGATTGTGTGAGGGTTTAGATTGAGTGATTGTAAACCCTAATTGTATCTCTCCCTCTAATAGTAGATCTTTCCCCTCCTTGCCCCGTGGATGTAGGTAGTTTGCCGAACCACGTAAAATTAGTTTGTTTGAGTTTGTGACCATTGTAATAGTTTTTAGGATCCCTCGACAAGTCAATCCTAGAACTGATGAGAGGAAGAGCCGATATCTCACTTTGTTGAGATATTCGCTTCAGATTCTTATTTCCTTGGTGAGACGAGAATTCTTATTGGGATCTTTCTCTCTTATTATGCACCAGAAACTCTGCCGAAATTTTCGCTGCGCACAACAAGTGGTATCAGAGCTCGGGCTACGCTTGGGCTATTTAGAGGAGTAGATCAATTTGGAGGCTCGTCTAGGGCTTCGTTTGATGATAAAGGTGGGATCTTTTAGTAAAAGACTATCTTTTCAGTTTTGGATCTATTCTTAATTCGTTGGTGCGTTGAGAAAGATGTCGGGGAAAGAAGGTGCTTCGGGTGTCGAGCGTGGTGCTTCTGACGCGAAGACCATTCAGAGTTTGAATATCCACTCTATGAAGATAGATGTGGAGAAATTTAATGGCACAAACAATTTTGAATTATGGAGATGCGAGATTTTGGATGCGCTGAACACGCAGAATTTGGAGGATACCTTGGAGTTAGATGGCAAGCCAGATGAGATTGAAGAGAATGTTTGAAAAAAGATGAATCGAACAGCGTGTGGTGTGATTAGGTCTTATTTGACTCAAGATCTAAAATATGACGTGATGAATGAGACTTCTGCGAAAAAGATTTGGGAGATTCTCGAAAGCAAGTATTTGACCAAGAGTGTGGAAAATCGTTTGCATTTGAAGAAGATGCTTTATCGTTTCCAATTAAAGAAGGGAACTTCCATTAGAGATCACATGAACCACTACACGAAGCTTCTTGCGGATTTGGCGAATGTGGATGTCATAATTGAGGATGAGGACAAGGCGTTACTGTTGTTGAGTTCCTTGCCCGACGAGGAATATGAAACCTTCGTCCTTACTCTGATTAATAGGAAGGTATCTCTTTCGTATAGTGAGGTCACTGCTGCATTGGTGAATTATCAGCTTCGGAAGAAGGATAAAGAGACTTCGACTGAGTCGGTAGCAGAGACGTTGGTCGCAAGAGGGAATGGTCCAAACCGAAAGAATTAGAAGTCACAGTCTAGAATAGGAAAAGATCAGTGTGCTTGGTGCAAGGAGACTGGTCATTAGAAGAAAGACTGCCCAAACCTCGACGAATGGATGAAGAATAAGCAGAAGGGAAAAGGGAAGCAGCCATCATTAGAAGCAAACATCGTATCGGATGGTAATAATTCTGACTCTTCTATTTATTCGCTTTCTATCAGTCCTACGGATAGCTATTCGGAGGAATCTGAATGGATGTTGGATAGTATTACGACCTATCATGTGTGCCCTAGAAGGGAATAGTTCTCCAGTTTTGAGAAGCTGATGGATAGTGGTGTGGTGTACTTGGCTGATAACCGTGCATGCCAGATCCTTGGGATAGGAAGAATTCGCATCAAAATGTTTGACGGGACTGTTAGAGAGTTAAACGATGTGAGATATGTTCCTTCTTTGAGGAAGAACTTGATCTCGATTGGAGCTTTGGTTGGAGAGGGTCTGAAGGTTCGTGTTGAGGACATGGTTCTCGAGATTGCGAGAGACTCTCGTATTTTGATGAAGGGCGTCAGGAGAAATAACCTGTATTACTTGACTGGAGGTATAGTGGCAGGTGAAGAGCTGACGACTTCTGTTGATTCGACTAGACTGTGGTATTTGGGGGTTGGCCATTCCAGTATTGATTCCTCGCATAGATTGAAAGAGAGTGCGAAGACCTGTAGTTTGAAGTCCAGTGAACATGTTGATGTGAGCAAGAAGACCGATGTGAAGTTTGGCACCTCTATTCACCGTGCTAAGGGTCGTTCTAGAGGAGTTCACGTGGATGTTTGGGGGCCTTCCAAGGTGGCATCATTGGGAGGTAATAGGCATTTGGTTTCCTTTATTAGTAACTGTTCTAGACGTGTTTGGGTTGCAACCAAATCCCCTTTGGAGAAAGTCCTAGTAGTATCCAACAGATTGAAAAAGTGTGTAATAGACAGAAAGGTGAAGGTACTCCATTCTGGTGGGAGGTACAAGATGGACCTATTTCTGTATTGGAGCCGAGCTCAAGGCATTTCGAGACACTTCGTTGGAAAGGAAATCTTGGGGTAACTAGATAGGGTGGCAAATTTGGAGAACCATACCTTACTGGAGGAGGATCAGTATTTGTGGTCGAGCAATGGTTTGCAGAAGAGTTTCTGGACTGAGGCTTCGACATATTTGGGTCATCCTATTATGGAATTGTCAACTGCTGTGATTGGAGGTAAAACTTCATAAGAAGATAGGTCTGGTAGTGTCACTTTGGTTGAGGCTTCGATGAGGGAGCTAATTGACTCTCAGCAGGTGGAGAGTTTTGGACAGACCTTAGAGGTATCATAGCGGGTGGAGACTGATGCTACTCCACATTGGGTGGGGATTTTTCCATATACTCCAGGTCATTCTGCATTGGTTGGGATTCCAGCTGAGGTGACACAGCGTGGAAGTCATTTGGATTCGGATGCAGATGATGAGTTGGGTTTTGACTCGAGTGCAGCTGATAGATGCAGTTTGGATATGACCATTGGTTCACCTCAGGTGAAGGTGTTTGAGGTCATTGGAGGTGCTATCAGTCGCAGAGTTGATGATATTGGAGAAGGGTTGCGAACTCTTCTATTGGTTTGAGGTCGTTCGCGGCCATTTGGATGAACTACGTTCGGCTTGATTCCTTGGGCAAGAGGATACGTAGGCAGTCTTTCAGATGCAGCCGGTTTGGATTAGTTGATTTTGATGGGGGGTTGAGATTATTTGGACTCTTGTTCGGGTTCTCGACTTGTTATGGATTGAGTTCGTACTGGACACAACAAGTGGGACTTTTGGTTACTTTGGTGTCGGCTCAGTTTTGGAAAAACTTCGCCGAGGTGAAGAATTGTGAATGAATGGACGTGGGGTCCACCTACCTACGTGCCTATGTTTTTACCCAAACGAAACGTGAATGATGCAGAGAGTGGGGGCCACGAGTGAATGAAATTCAGCGGGCATTTTTTTGTTTCTTAGACAAACCCGGCCCACCCGAATTTTATTTGCAGGCTATAAATAGGAATCATATTCTCTCCTAGGGCTTGGTGCAAGATTGAGAGGGGGAATAGGCAGCCGGCTGGGTGCAAAGGACAGCGCTGGCAATGGTGTGCAAGAGTGTAAAGGCGGCTAGAGAAAACTCAGTTGCGGCTGTGCAAAGAAAAGGCAGAGGCCTATTTTTTTTGGGTTTTGTGCATCTTTTTGAGAGAGTCTTTTGTGTGAGGGATTTGAGAGATTGTGTGAGGGTTTAGATTGAGTAATTGTAAACCCTAGTTGTATCTCTCCCTCTAATAGTAGATCTCCCCCACCTTGCCCCGTGGACGTAAGCAGTTTGCCGAACCACGTAAAATTAGTTTGTTTGAGTTTATGGCCATTGTAATAGTTTTTAGGATCCCTCGACAAGTCAGTCCTAGAACTGATGAGAGGAAGAGCCGATATCTCACTTTGTTGAGATATTCGCTTCAGATTCTTGTTTCCTTGGTGAGACGAGAATTCTTATTGGGATCTTTCTCTCTTATTGTGCACCAGAAACTCTGCCGAAATTTCCGCTGCGCACAACACCCTAATTCCAATGTAAGCCTATGGGCCTTTCCCACAAACATAGAAAATTTCTCTGTTGATTTAATAACGACTTGCTAATGCCCACAATTGATATGTGCTATTATTAGTGATAAGATGACCCTTCACGTAGATATTAACCCAAAGTTACTCCTGGTCAGCATATCAAGATCTTCTTAGTGAAAGATCAATAAGACTGTAATAAATACAAAAAAATGGCACACATACAAATAAAATGGCACACGTATAATAGGTGAATGACCAAACTGGAAAGAAAGTACCGCTCAAAATCATCTGGATGTTTATTTCACAGAGAGAAATCTCATCCTCGAGCAAACGCTGCTGCTGATACTACAAAAAGCAAAGGACAAAAGTTCAGAGAAACATTAAAGAAGCAAAAAAGTTTCATCTGTATATAAAACGTGAAACAGATGGAAAAGGAGAATTTTGTGATACAACAATAAGGAAAAGTGCATACCATATTATTCCTTCTTTTTTGAAGAACTTGTAAGCAGGCTGGCATTAGCTTATTTTCCTTAGATGTGATCACTTGAAAAGGTGTAATCTGCTCACTGGAACTAAACATTAATGGCAAAGTTTTCAGATTATCCAATGCAGATCCATCTCGAGAAGCACCATTAGTACAGGCTCTGATTTGAAGTGTGCGGTTTGACATGCATGCCTTCTTATCCAAATCGACTACATCTGCCTGTCAAGTATACAAAATTGCTTTTACCTTATTTCCAAATCAACTAAAAAATAAAAACCAGGAAACTGACTAAATTATGATATCTATGGCATTTAGTTAACTCTTACTAGGTAACTAGAGAATATATAGCCATGCTATGGAAAATGATAGATACTTCCTGGTAGTTATTGTAATTGGAAAACAAGCTGCCAAAATACACACATGCATACCTACAAGTTGGCTATCATATTATACCTAATCATGCTAATTCCAAAATTCAGCATATAACTGTCTTAATAGATTCAGTACACAATCTTAATAGATGTGTTTCTGCGTAGTCATCAAACTAAGTTGATATTCATCACTGTATTGCGCTATGGACGATGAACAGATTTAACTAGAGATATATGAAAAATATGTAGAGAATATCTTGCTACTATGCCAATTCCCAATGTTTAGTCAGATAGTATGCTACAACTTTAAGTTCCATTGTCCAACATTTAAGAAAAATAAGAAAAATAAAGCAAATTTTTTTTGAGACAATCTGCTTAACTTAGTGACTCTCGTATCTAGCCTACCATCCGTCTTAGTTTCCTCAGCATGTAGTTTGCTGCAGATTCCCGCGCTTCAGCGGGTTTGCTTTTTGGATCACCATCATTGCTGCACCCGAAGTCGGCCCCCTCAACTATAACAGTAGCCTCAAACATTCCTGTTAATAAATGCCAGAGCGCCATAATGAGTACGGTATTATGTATATTTTCAAGTTATTAATGCAGTTACTAGAAGTTGAGTGTCAATACATCCCACTGGTTAGTGCAGAGTGATGTTCCAAAAATCCATTTGAGTGCACACTTGAATCAATTACCACCTTCCCAAGGTAATAATAGCAGTGTAGCTGGTATCATAAAAAATCGTGTTCTTTTGCACTAGTTTTTTTGGGCGAATTTCACAAACCCCAATACCTTCGGCGTTTCCCATGAAACCCAGGGATAATTTGGTTTCCCACTAAAGACCAAAAACCTCTCCCACCTAACCAAAGTGACAAAATTGCCCTTCAGGACAGAAACATCAAGTTTCATTCTTTTTAATAAATTTGCCTGGTAGTGCTTTGGGATAAAGTTAGAGGGAGGCAGTGAGGAGAAAGAGAGGGTTTGCAAATTGCCTTATGTGAAAGTTTTTGCCCAAAAATTAGAAAGAATGGGAAACAAATTGGCATAAGGGGAATTTTCATAACTTTGGAGGTTATGAGGGGAGAACAAAGTGTTGGGATTTTCGTGGGAAAATTCCCCAAGTACTGGGAGGTTCTATGAAATTTACCCTTTTTTTCCTTTAGCGTGATAGTAACAACTCAAATATGTACCCAGTATTCATAGTCAAAGCATCTCTCAGGGATCAAAATGGAGGGAGCAAGATCATCCAATTGTCCCATAAGGACGGGTGGTATACATTGCACAATTCCAAAACGGTAAGAAGGTATTACCAGTGATCTGACAATTTGTAAACGATGGAAGCACCATATATGTTGGCAATAGCCAACTGTTCTTCCGGCATATATCATCCAGTTCCTGTTGATCACATAAAAGCACTGCCATAGTCAGAATGTATTTGTAATGACCAAGACAAATTAAAGTAAACAAACTCTAGTAACTATTTTCATTTGACTTCTACAACCTAAGTTGTTAGTTATCCTGCCCTATATATATTGCTTCCAATATTTTTCCTTTTTTCTCTCTATTTAATTGGACTGAATGAACAGACGTAATTGGTTTGATTTGATGAGTGCAATAAGTAATACAAAATTATCATTCTACACAAACATACACATGTATATCTAAAACAAATTCAGAAATAGGATTTTATAGAGCCAGGATAGATCCAAGCAACATTCTTGTAAATCTAGGCAGTCTCATTGAATCTAGAGTCACCTTTATCATGTTTATGGGATTAGATCCCAACCGTCTCTTTTTTCTTTTAAGTGTCATTTATGTAATAATTTCTAGAAAACTGATGATGACTGATGTCAAAGCTTTTATATCACAAGTGATAGGAATTGGTGTCAAAATGATTCACATCGTGCAGAAGCAATTCACCAATCTTACGACGAATATAACAATTTAAAATCAACAAAGTGAAAATCACTAGCAACAGCATTTTCCTTCATTGGTTTCTCAGAAGGAATGAACTACCATTGGTTTTTTCTTGAATTGCTCTTTACAAGTTCTACAAAAGCACAAGAAGAATCATGCATACATGCAAACACACATGTGCACACATGCAGAGTTACACATGTATGAACCCCAATATATTACATAGATATGAGAAGCTCCGACTTAAAAAATTGCAGAGAAATGGGCACAAGGTTGCTTAGTAAACACTAAACACTGTCCCTCACACTAATTTCTCAAATATCTAAAGGGAAAAATGTTTAAAACATGTCGTGCAACTAGTGATGGCAAGAAGTTGTAGTTCAATAAATAAAATAATTGTTAATTGATGCACAAAAGATGACTGGGGAGTTATAAATGGACAATATTCTGTGCACATCTGATGCATGTGCACCAAAATTGTTGTAGCGGAGGGGCTTCACAAACACAGAAGATGTCTATACAATAGTGGACAAAAAGAACAACACATAAGGATTTAACGTGGTTCGGTCAGTATGACTTACGTCCACAGACGAGAACAGCAGAGAACTTCACTAATCACGAAAGAGAAGATTACAAAAGAGGAGATCACTCTTTAACCTCACTAGAGAATCACAAAAAAAAAGATTTCTCTTTCTATCTCACTCTCTTCTCTCTAACTAATTCTTTTCTTTTTCTCTCCGACTGATGATCTTAAACCCTCCTACACCCATCCTTATATAGCTTACAAAAAATAATAAAAAATTGAAAAAGTGGTTGTTGGAACAGTAATTAGGAGTGGATGGCATAGTGATGTTAGGTAAATGGAGAAATTTTCAAAGACACGTGACAAATCTTCATATTGACTTTGAAAATGAAGATACTCTCTTTACTCTTGCTGTCTCGCCAGAAGCCCCTTACAGGGCTTAACCTCCACTTTATTGAACTCCAAGCAATTCGAGACAATGCTCGAACTTGCATGAATGTACGGGCTTCGTCATCATATCTGTTGGATTGTCTGTAGTCTTGATGACTTTAACTTATCTGATAAAATGATACTTGTCATCAATATGTTTAGTTCTTTCATGATACATATGATGTTTCGTCAAATATATAGCACTCTGGCTGTAACAAAATACTGAAGTAACACCTTGCTGAAGCCGAGATCTTCAACCAAACCTCTCAACCAAATAGCTTCTTTCACTGCTTCTCTCATTGTCATATACAATGCCTCTGTGGTAGACAAAGCAACTATCGACTGTAGAGTTGCCTTCCAACTAATGACACTACCTAAAAGAATGAATAGATAACCTGTCAGAGATCGTCTCTAATCCAAATCGCCCGTATAATCTGAATCAGAATAGCCAAGTATTCTGCAATATGAGTTTGTGTGCCCACCAAAATATAAGCTAATATTAGCAGATCCTCTTAAATATCTAAGTATCCATTTCACAGTCTGCCAATGGACTTTTACAGGCTTATCCATATACCGACTCACAACACTGGCTGCATGTAAAATATCTGGACGGATGCAGATCATAGCATACATAATGCTTCCATGCACTAGCATAAGGAACATAAGACATGTACTGCTCCTCCTCAGTCTGAGGTGACAAATCTGCTGAAAGACGAAAATGAGCAGTAAGCGGAGTCTTCATAGGCTTGACATCAAGCATGCCAAATCTCTCTAACACCTTCTTGATATATTTCTCCTGAGATAGGAATAGGCTTCATTCTTGCCTGTTTCTATGAATCTTCATCCCCAAAATCTTCTTTGCAGCTCCCAAGTCCTTCATCTCAAACTCATGTTTGAGTTGAGATTTTAACTCGTTGATTTCTAACATATCTTTAGCTGCAATCAACATGTCATTAACATACAAAAACAAATACACAAAAGAACCATCATTGAGTTTTTTATGATAAACACAACTATCATATTTACTCCTAGAGTAACCATGCTCAAGCATGAAAGTATCAAATCTTAAATACCCTTGTCTCGGAGACTGTTTCAACCCATAAAAAGATTTCTTCAACCTGCACACATGATCTTCTTTATCTTCAACAATGAACCCCTCTGGCTGATGCATAAAGATCTGCTCCTCAAGCTCGCCATGTAAAAAAACTGTCTTCACATCAAGTAGCTCAAGCTCCAAATAAAAATGAGCAATCATGGCAAGCAACACGCGAATTGAGGCGTGTTTTACAACTGGAGAGAATACTTCATTGAAGTCCATACCTTCAGTCTGACGGTAGCCTTTAGCTACCAAGCGTGCCTTGTACTGTATCCGAAGTTCCTTCTTTCTTCTTGAAGACCCATTTACAACCAACGATCTTCTGTCCCCTTGGTGGCTTCACTAACTCCCATATCTGGTTCTTGTGAAGAGACTTCATCTCTTCAGTCATCAGTGCAGTCCAATTTGCAGCCTCATTGTCACTAATAGCCTTCTTATAGGTAGAAAGCTTTAGAATCCCAATCGATTTTGCTACACTCAAAGCGTAAGTAAGCATGTCTGCGTAGCGTTGAGGAGGTCGGATCTGCCTTTTTATTCTCCCAGTGACTATTGTACCGTTGCTCTTTTGGTGTATCAGCATCTGAAGTTGAACCTTCCGTAGTATCAACTGGTTCTCAACATAAGCGTCCTCAAGCACTTTCTTTGAAGCTGAGCTTTCTAGCTCCACCTGCTTACAAGACTCCTTTTCAAGACCTATAGTAGTGTCAGTAACAAATTCCTTTCTCGGGTGAAGTATGGATTTTTTATCAAAAGTAACATCCATACTAATAATAAACTTAGGTGATTTGGGATCAAAATATCATAATCTATATCTCTTCACCTCAGTAGCATATCCTAGAAAGATAGCTTTCTTTGTTCTGGGTTCAAGCTTATTATCATTAACATGAAAATAAGTAGAGCATCCAAATACTCTTAAATGAGAGTAATTAGCAGGAGCACCAAACCAAACCTCTTCTGAAATCTTAAAATCAACTGTTGTAGAAGGAGATCTGTTTATCAAATAGCAAGCTATATTGACTGCCTCGGCCTAAAATTCTTTTGACAAACCAGCATTAGAGAGCATGCACTGAGCTCTCTCTAAAAATGTTCTGTTCATCCTTTCTGTAACTATTTTGTTGTGGTCTATGCCGAACTGTACGATGGTGTATAATACATTCATTCTTGCAGAACTGGTCAAACTCTGTAGAACAAAACTTCATCCTATTGTCGGTTTTGAGACCCTTCACTTTCTTTCCTGTTTGCTTCTCAATCATAACCTTCTATTGCTTGAAGGTTGCAAACACATCACTCTTATATTTCAAAGGATACATCCAAACTTTTCTAGAATAATCATCAATTAATGTTAGCAGAAAACAAGCTTCACCTTTCGATGGAACCTGAGAGGGACCCCAAATATCTGAATGGATATAATCTAAAGTACCATTGGTTCTGTGAACACCGGTACTAAAAGATACTCTATGATATTTCCCAAAAACACTATGCTCACAAAAGTCTAATTTGCTGGTTTTCTGACCACAAAGCAGACCTTGTTTGCTCAATACATCCAGTCCTCTCTCACTCATATGTCCTAACCGCATATGTCACAAATATGTAGTGTCAGAATCTGAATCCTCAGAGGATGACACTGCTGTAGCACCTGTCACTGTACTGCCTTCAAGGATATAGAGGATATTTACCTTCTTTCTTTTCATTACAACAAGAGAGCCTTTAAACTCTCAAAACTCCACCTTTAGCTGAAAACTTAAAACCATTTGAGTCAAGGGTGCCTAAAATAATGAGATTCTTTTTTAACTCTGGAATATGACAGACATTGCTCAATGTTCTAACAATACCATCATAGGTTCTAATCTTAATTGCTCTGATACCAACAATCTTGCAAGGCATGTTATTTCCCAACAAGACATTCCCATCATCGATAGACTGATATGTGATACACCAATCCCTATGCGGACACATATGATAGGAACAACCTGAATCAAGAACCCACTCATCTTGTGAATGAGTATTAACACTAACTGAAAGAACTTCATGTGAACTAGAAGGCTCTTCAGTTACAGTGACAACTGAAGGTTTCACCTCCCCAGACTTCGACTGTGAATAATCCTTTGCTTTGAGCGCTAGACAATTAGGTTTTATATGCCCATATTTGTGACAATAATAACATTCAACATTTTTTCTTGGCCTGGACTTGGATCTAAACATATTACTAGACTTGTCTCTACCACCAACAGCTTTTTCAGGACGATCACGATCGAACAAGCCTTCAGCTTGATCATCTCCTCCTACGACAGACACTTTCTGTCTTAACTTTTTTGAATGTAAGATTGATTTGACATCTTCCAAAGAAAGTGTATCTTTACCGTATAACATGCTATTGACAAAATTTTCATAAGGAGGTAATGAACATAACAAATGAGTGTTTGATCTTCTTCGTCAATTTTAACATCAATATTCTTTAAATGCATAAGAATAGTGTTAAGTTCATCTAAGTGATCTTTAATTCACATAACTTCTTTCATGCGAAGGGTGAATAGGCGTTGCTTCAAGTATAGCTTGTTCGTTAGAGATTTCGTCATGTACAAGCTCTCTAACTTGAGTCACAAGCCGGCGACGATATCTTCATTTGCAACCTCCCGCAGGACCTCATCGACCAAACAGAGTTGTATGGCACTATGCACCTTCATCTTCAGCTCTTGTTTCTCATCATCGGGCATAGATTCCGGTAACTTATCCTTTTCGGACAATACCTTGAACAATCCTTGTTGTACTAGGAGAGCCCTCATTTTTACTCTCCATAAACTGAAGTTGTTTCTCTTATCGAATTTCTCTATTTTGTATTTTGTAGAAGACATCTTGAAGCACACTAGAACACTAACTGTAATTATAAACAATAACCATACTTTTGAACAGTATCAGTACTTTTGAATAGTACCGCACTCGTGAATAGTACTCAATACATTTAAAGAGTAAATAATAATCTAACTTTTTTTCTGATGTGGAAGATCCACTTTTAGTGACAGTCACAGAGCATACGATAAGTAGATACACGTACTCTAAGCAGGCTCTGATACCAGTTTGTTACAGCGGAGGGGCTTCATAGACACAGAAGATGTCTATACAATAGTGGACAAAGAGAACAACGCACAAGGATTTAACGTGGTTCGGTCAGTATGACCTACATCCACGGACGAAAATAGCAGAGAACTTCACTAATCACAAAAGAGAAAATTACAAAAGAGGAGATCACTCTCTAACCTTACTAGAGAATCACACAAAGAAAGATTTCTCTCTCTCTCACTCTCTTCTCTCTAACTAATTCTTTTCTTTTTTTCTCCGACTGATGATCTTAAACCCTCACACATCCCTCCTTATATAGCTTACAAAAAATAATAAAAAATTGAAAAAGTGGTTGTTAGAACAGTAATTGGGAGTGGATAGCATAGTGATGTTAGGTAAATGGAGAAATTTTCAAAGACACGTGACAAAAATCACATATTTAAACTAAGAATACAATATATAATGTGTATAAATATGAATTATTATTCTATAGAAGAAAACTTTGAATCATTCTTGCAAACATATTAGCCAAAATGTTTATCAACTTACTTTAGCTTGGCTCATATATAACTTGCCTGGCATGGATCTCTTGAAGTAAGAACTGCCTCGGATAATTTTCTCCTTTTAATAGTTCCAGAAGGGCACTCTTCTTTACAAGACAACTTTTCATCCATTTGAAATCCTTCGGAGCAGAAACAGTTAAGTGCTTCAATTATTAAATCTGCTTTTCTTGTCGAGTTCTCTTCACCTTCTACAGAAAGTAACCATATCAAGATTTTGTTTAGTGAAAGTTCAACATTTGAAGTTTAGTTAACAGAGCATACAAGTGACATGATAACTTAATCTAACTAGTACGCCAATAAACCAACATATATTTTACCTACTCATGCCAACAACCATTATGACATGACACTTGGGAGATTTTGGGTTGAAATCTCCACATTGACAACAGACGAGTTTTTTTACCCTCTCTTTTTCAAGTTAAGAATGCAGGGATGCACTGTTGCAACATTGTTGCAATATAATTTGATCTCCGAGGGCATAATATAAATTTTTTTACTGTTACTCATTGTGTTCCTTTTAGTGCAGTAGGAGATTTGATTGTTAAGGTTTGGAAGGCAATAATATTTCACTTCTTCAATGATA